CCCTCCTTTCTCCTCCCTTCTCCCTCCCCTTCCCTCCCTTCCCTCCCCTTCCTTTTTTCCTCCCTTCCCTTTTTCGCCCCTTCCCCCTTTTCTCCTTTTCCCCTTCCCTTCCCCTCCCCTCCCTCCTCCTCCCTCCTTTTTCTCTTTCCTCACTGTCCCCTCTTCGCCTCATCCCCCACCTCACTCCCTCACGGTCCTCACTCGCATCTCGCGCCTGCTCCTCCTCCCGCCCTCAACACCCGGCACTACCTCCACACTATCTGAGCCATGAGTCAGTGCTGCGTGATGTGTTGAACGTTCGTTGATACAGGGAGGAGGGGATCAAGGCCTACAAGGCGGCGAAGAATGCTCCGCCAAGTGCTGGGGAAGTCGAGAAACCGCACTATGTCACCAACTACTACAAGAAACGAGAGGAAATTATAGGCAAGCGACTGAACGAGGATGTCAAGGATTTGTCGGGATGACTCTTTGTTGTAGTTGATCCTATCTTGCAACGGTTCCGGGATCAGGCGACTGAGGACATGATCTCAACCATGGAGCTGCAGAATCAAAAGCACATGCTCAACGACGCCTGGGATCGGCAGGTAGCTGGCAGTGGAGGTGAAGAAAGTGAGGTCTGAGTCAAGGTGTCCAGGTCCAGCTGGAACAGAAGTTTGACATCATCACCCACCAGCCCAAGAGAGGACATATCCATGAAGTGAAGTTTGTTCCACGGACCAAACCCCCCTCTCTGGCAAGAGTTGTCGCTGTTGTGCAGGAGACAATGACTTGGAATAGGTGGTCGCAAACCACACCGACTACAACATCATCTCCACACTCAAATACGCCGACCATCACTGGGTGAGTGAAGAAAAGCTCCCTCCTTGCAAACAAAGCTTCTGAAGGCTCATTCGCAAGGCACCTCCCGCTCTCCGGCCTCCTCGTATCCCTTCGCCTCCTCGGAAGCAACCCTTCCTGACCAACGTGAACCGACCGAGAGAGTTCGATATCATCAGCAACACGTACAAGGAGCATCACGGAGAGAGGATGAGGTTCGAGGCGGACAAGGAACGACAGGATGTCATGAAGAGGTTCTGGAAAGGGTACTTTGACATGGGAGCTGGGAAATGTTGGCTCCTGACCGTCACACTGCCCACTCGCAGGCGCGAGTTTGATGCGATCAAAGTGAGGTACACCGATGAAGAAAAGGAAGAGGCTTTCCAGTCCACCATGAAGGAGAACTTGCTGCGGAGGTTCCCTTGTTCTTCGCTTCCTTTCCATCTCACCTGTGCTGAGATCTCTGGGATCAGGGGGAAGGATTGGATCAAGAAATTGCCTCCGACCTATCAGGTGGGCCGAAGCTTGTCTTGCTCGAGGGGAACTGCCTGATGATGACGTGCCAGCAAAGTGAATCCACGATGTTTAACATCACGTCGCATCTAGTCAAAGATGAAGACCGTCTCAACGTATGCTCCTGCTCCAGTCTTGTCGCCCCTCGCATCTATTCTTGCACCTCGTCTCCCGTCTTCCCTCCTCTAATCGCTCCTCCCTTCCTCTCCTCCTTATCTGACTCCTTGGCTCCACTTGCCCCTCTCTCCAACCGTGTGCCTGGTTCACTTCGATCCGCTCTCCCTCCCTCCTTCTCATTCGAGGCTTGCAGGCGCTGAAGGCACATGAAGCCGCTCAGAGTGAGATGAAAGCGAAGGTGCGACAAACTTCTGATCTTGATCTTGAGATGATTGCTTCATGCGCAGTTGATAACAGAGCGAGAGGAAGATAATCGGGCATACCAAGTGAGGACACTTGTCTCCGCCTCCTCCTCCTCCACTCTCTGGCTCCTCCTCCTCTTCCTCCTCCTCCTCCTGGCCCTTCTTCGTCCCATCCCCCCTGAGATTGTCTTGATAGTACAAGATGAGCGACCTGGAGATGACGCGCAAGTTGAATCGAATCTCTCACCAGCGATATAAAGACGTCACGGACAGGTGAGACTTCTCCACCATCACCACCACTACCTTCTCCTCCTCCACCACCACTACCACCTCCACCTCCACCACCACTACCACCACCTTCTCCTCCTCCTCCTCCACCACCACCACCTTCAAGGTCCCGCCCCGCCTGCTTCTGTTCCTCCTCCTCCTCCTCCTCTCCCGCCTTTCTCCTCCCCCTGACCTCCTCCCTCCCTGCTTCACTCACTCACTTTCCTTTCAGAGGATTCCACATCCTCAGCAACGACGACTTCGACATCTGCGGGCTGCCCCCAGCTCCCTACACCCGACCCGCCATGTCCCTCAACGACCTTGTCAAACACGCCCAGCTGGTGTGCACCTGCCAGCCGTTCTCCCGTAACGCTCCTTGCTCGCAGGCGGACAAGCCGCAAACTGGTCAAACTCTTCAAAACGGTGGAGGGGAGGAGGTGCGTCTGCTCTGCTGGGGTCTACCCCCCCCCTCCTCATGACTCGCCCAGCAGGCGGCGAGCTCGGCCCCAGCAGTCTCGAGGATGGCGACTAGTATGCGATCGGTGAGGGTCTGAACCTTGACCGTCTTCCCCTGTCGCCTCGTCCTCCTGCGTTTGTGATCATCTGCGTTTGTGATGGATTTCCTCTCCTTCCTCTCCCACATCCTCCTTCTCCTCCTTCTCCTCTTCCTCTCTTTCCTTCTCCTCCTCCTTCTCCTCCTCTTTCTCCTTTCTCCTTCCTCCACCTTCACCTCCTCCTTCTTCCA